TTTATGGTGTCCTGTACTTACAACTTAATATGATAAAGTTTAATTTATACATTTAGTATTGGGAGCAATCACCAACAAAAATTAGTAATAAGTAGGATAATAAAAGCAATATAACTACTAATAAAACAAGACAGCTCTTCTGCATGGTAGAGGATGATCTCCTATAGCAATACTTTATTAAATATATTACAAGCCAAAGTAAAAGAATAAATAGCAAGTGATGATAGATATAGATAGATATATAGATAGGTAGATAGACAGACAGGCAGATTGATTGATTTGTTGCTAGATGGCAAATCTAGTATTCAAAAGAGCCAACGGAAGTCAAGGCCCTTTGAGACAGCCAGCTGGAGTTTGAAGGCCCTTTGAGATAGCCCTTTGAGACAGGCCCTTTGAGAAGGCCCTTTGACACAGCCAGCTGAAGTTCTGCACTGAGTGCCTCAGCAAAGGAAAATATCAATTCAGATGAGGTTTTCAAGTAAAAGAACCAATAACAGCAGATAGAGATACCATCTTCAAATCATTTGCTCATAACATCCATCAGGAACACACTGGGGAAGCTGAGATAGTCATCTGGATCCCAATTGAGCCTTCTCTCCAAGGATGAGTGTCCCACGGCTGAACTTTTGGCTTCTCTTTGCCACTGTAGGTACCTTTTATATCATGGGCTAAGCAATAGTAACATATATTGAAAACTGTTTCCTCCTAGCTGATTTTAAGAACAAAATGTTTTTACTTTTGGGCTGTTTTGACCTCCCTGTCACAGAGGAGGGCCAGCAATCCCAGACAAAGGGCCTTTGAGACCAGCATGGCTTAGGTCTGAAATGTGTGTGTGTGTTGAGGGGGCAACCCTACTCCAGAGCCAGTTTCTCAATGAGCTCAAATAGCAAGAGACAGTTTACCAATATAATGTACATTACACTAACTATAACAATGTGTGAATAAAAGTGTTGTGAATGTGGTCTCTCTCTCTCTCTCAAAATACCTAACTGTAATGGACTTACCTTTTTTTATGTTGATGTGAGGCCACAGAAAGCCAGCCATAATAAGTGGAGACACTAGGCTGATTTTTGTCTATTATTCTAAGTTGTGAACTACCCTGCAGTGCAGGAAACAAAAGAAGAACTTTTGCCTTTCATGAAGTTCCCTATACTGCAAATATCTTTGGCTGAGATCTCAAGTTAGTAGAAGAAGCGCTGTTGAGGCTTGTCTGTGAAAGGAAACTGAAAACAAATATTTGTTGGGTGGAACCTCAAGATCTTATAATGGCTGTGCCTTTTCCTCACCAGTGCTTAGTGCTCAGCTGAACAAAGGCTATTCAAGTTTCCATGTGAAGGGAGCCAGGACATTCTTTCCTTACCATCTTTCAAGACCTGCTTTTCACATCCTACTACTAATTAATGAAGAGCAAAGGATGCTTTGCTTTCAAGACATCAATTCATCCCCAAATCTCTGATTAAAGACTTAGGCTGCTGTGGAAAGAGATGCCAGTGAGGTAAGACTAATCAGATGTTTTCTAGAAAAAGCTCTGGGACCACTTTGCTAATCAGAAAATTAAGAAGAAACAATAGCTGTAGGTTTCTGCAGTCCAAAGAAGACTTAGCATTGACTGTATTCCAGAAAAGAAAAAGGCTGTAGGAAGTCTGATTCTAAACCTTCGTTTGATTGAGGAATAGAGTTATCTTTTATTTCACCACAATTGAGACCTGAACAAAAGAAAATGCATTTGGCTGTGGCAGGAATTAGAATATATTGTTCAGAGGGTTGACCCAGACTGAGTCTAAAAGGAATTCTGATTGTCTGGGTGTGTTGGTCTGTAGGTGTCTTATTGACATGAATTTATATTTAGAAAAGGGCTTTTGAATTCTAGCTGAAGAGGAAAAAAAGGTAGGGGCTAGAGAGCTAGTCCTAGATAATAGATAGGAGCACTGGTGTGACAGAATGCCTATGATGTAACATTAAGTTGAAAGCATCAGAACACAAAACTCTATTATACAATATTCTTACCATTTAAAAGTGCTGAGCAGATAATGTATTATTCCATAAGCGCAGATGTTCAAGTGGCATGGCATTTAATTTCTTTTCTGTTACGTATTTTAATTTCTATTTCCTTTAGGTCATTAGCCATTAGAAAATTTATTTCAGTCAATTTAAGATTAGATCCCACTTTTCCCTTAGACATAAAGTCCTAGTATTTAGAGAACAAACTGGATTCATACAGCCATTGTAGTTTTCAAAATATTTTATTATTTTTATTTTATGTGTATGAGTGTATTGCCTGGATGTGTGTAAGTGCACTCATGTTATGCAATGCCTGTACAGATCAGAAGAAGGCATCAGATCCCGTGGGACTTGTGTTACAGACAGTTGTTAACTGCCATGTGAGTGCTGGGAGTCGAACCCAGATCCTCTGCAAGACCAGGTAGTGCTCTTAATGGGGGATCCATCTCTCTAGTCCCAGCAGTTGTAGTTTGAATATAAAATTTTCCCTACTGGCTCATGTTTGAACACTCACGTCTCCTGCTGGAGGTGTTGTTTGGGAGGGTTATGGAACTTTTAGGAGGTGGAGGCTTGCCAGAGGAAGTGTGTCACTTGGGGGCAGGTTTTGAGGTTTTATAGCCTGGCCCCACTTCTTGTGGCTCTGTTGCCTGCGTGCAGATAGAATGTGATCAGCTGGCTTTCTGCCAGTGTCCCCATGTCTCTCCTGCCAGCTGCCATGCCATCCTTGCCATGATAGACTCCCCCTCTGGACTGTAAGCCAAAATAAAGCCTTTGCCCCTCAAGATGCCCTTTGTCAGGGTATGTTATTACAGCAACAAAAGTGAAACAAATACAATGACTAGTCTTTGCAATTTGCTGAGATGTCCTTTATAGACCTATTGAATGTATGGTAAATATTTCTAAGTGTTTTACCATACCAGAGTTGTTCACTGTGTTGTTCAATTTTTCTAACTTTTTGCTAAATTTTTTGGCTACTTGAACCATAAGTTTTTGAAAGAACTGAGCTGTGATTTCTCACTATAATGGTGTTTTTGACAATTTATTCATGGAGAACTGTCAATTTTTGTTTGTGTCTGTTGAGTCTATTCAATGGGGTATATACATATTCAGAATTTTTATATTGCTTTGGTAACTTTAACATTTAATCATTGTGTAGAAACTCTGTCCTTAATGACACTTTGTCCTAAAGTCTCTTTTGACTAATATTAGCACAACTATTTAGCTTGGATTTTATGGTTAGCATCTGACAAATACATATATTCATATTCTTTGATTTTCAACTGTTCAGAATTGGAATTTCTTAGGTGTGACTTTTGTAAGCAGCCCCAAAATTGCAGGGTGTTTAATTTAATCAGATTTTTAAAACTTGTTAATTTAAATTTGTGTGTATTTTGTTAATTTATATATTTGTATTTTGTTACTATCTTATTTATCTCCACAATCTACTTCTTTGCCATGTTTATTTATATTCATTTGAAACTATTTTTAGTATTATCTTTGTATATAATGATATGATCTTAGTCATTGCTTCATAAGCCCCAAGTTATAATTTTTGTGGGGTCATTTTATGTTTTAGAGAGACCTCGAAAAATACTTTTAGTTGTAGCTTATTTAAGACAAAATTTTCTATTTATTTATTTGAGGTGAATCGACATTACATAGAATTAATCACTTTAAAGTAAGTAATCCAATGACATTTCGTGTATTCACAATGTTGTGTAAATACCCCTCCCCTGCATCTAGCTCCAAAATATAAGAAATTTTCTATATTTCTTTTTAAAAATTATTTATTATTTTTATTTTCTGTATATGAGCGTATTCCCTGCATGAATGTAAATGTACCTGTATTGTGCAATGCCCTCAGAGGTTGGAAAAGGGCATTGGATCCCCTGAAACTGGAGGTATGGACAGTTGTTAGCTGCCATGTGGGTGTTAGGAACTGAACCCTGGTACTCTGCACGAGCAGCCAGTGCTCTTAACAGCTGAGGCATCTCTCCAGCCCCTTCTCACTGTATTTTTATTATGCATATTTTTGCTTAAATATCTTCTCAAAGAAAGATAGTTTGCCTACCTAATTTAAGTCGCCTCACCCCCAGCTTTCCCATCCTCTTTTCTCTTGTCCTGCTATAGGGTTTCTTATTTCAGTGACATAATATGCAGATATATTTGCTGAAGGATGAATGAAAACTTACCTGGTTAGTGGCCCATTTGCTGTAAGGTTTGCCAAGTGCCTGGCTAGCCATAATGAGCTGACGTGTTAATAATTCCTAGTGTTTTGCTAGGTTTTCCTTTAAGTGGACTTCTTTTGCATTTTTATTTTCTAAAGGAGTTAGGGTTTGGCTCTTTCATCACAGAACAGTTTACAGGAAATGTGGACAGGATGAGAATCCTCAGGAATTCTTCCATAAGCACCTGTACGTTCTGTCTTGGGGGAAAGCTAATCCTGAAGGAATGGTTCTCTGGGTAGCCTGCATTGACACTGGCACAGTGCTGTGTAGTTAGTGCTCTTGTTGGCCTGCTACTTATTTTATCCTCATGATTGTATCTCTGTTATCCCAACTTAATTGATAGTGAAACAGCCCAAAGAAGCAGGATCTTTTACACTCCTGACTTGGTGTCATATTTATTTATTTTTTATTTAGTATTTTTATTTTATGTGTAGGAGTGTATTGCCTGCATGTATGTGAGTGCATCCATGTCATGCAATGCTGCACAGGTCAGAGGATGATGTTGGATTCCCCTGGAACTGGAGCTAAGGATGGTTCATAGCCGCCACGTGGGTGCTGGGAATAGAACCCGGGTCTTCTGCAAGAGCAGTCAGTGCTCTTAACCCTTGAGCCATCTCTCCAGCTCTTTGGTGACATATTTTTACTGATGTTCTTTTTTTAAGTATTTATTTATTCATTTTTATTTTATGTGTATGTGTGTATTGCCCGCATGTAGGTAAGTGCACCCATGTCATGCAATGCCCACGGAGGACAGAAGAGGCCATTGGATCCCCTGGAACTGGAGTTACAGACAGTTGTCAGCTGCCATGTGGGTGCTGGAATTTGAACCTGGGTCTTCTGCAAGACCAGTCAGTGTTCTTAACCGCTGAGCCTAAGTTAAATCAGGACACATCTTTGCTAGCTGTGCCTTTTGGAGATTTATAAGAAGGTATTCAAGTGAGAGCTATCAGCCATGGAAGCAAGGCCTTAAAGCTTTAGTCACCCAGATCCAATGGACATTTGATTTGTAGGAAAGAGAAAAACTGTCTTCCCTACTTACATTTCAAAGTTGCTTCCAGTTTCTTGCTCTCCCTATAGCCTGATAAACATAAATTTTGTAAGAAAATAATACCATATGTTGAGGACAGCAGGTGTTATGAATGCCTCATGAATTACATGCACATGTAACTCACATCTCACATCAAGTCTATGTTGTAGGGACGATCTGCAATTCTTCATAAAAGGCCCAGAAGATATCTTTGAATCTCTATCACAGCTAGAAAGAAAAAGAGATCAATTTTCGACCCATGTGAGTAAGCACTGTTTCAGAAAAGCACTGCCCAACAGAAATACAATATAAATTTAAATTATCTAGTAACTACTTTAAAAGAGCAAAGAGAAACAAATGAGATCAAGCCAATATGTTGAATCAAAGTCAATATATTAAAAACATTGTCACTTTAATATGTAGCTGCCATAAAATCATTAACAAGATATTTTATATATTTTGCATTGAGTCCTCAAAAATCTAGTGTGTTATTTTGCTCTTAGAACACATGACAATTCTGATGATACATTTTAATCAGAAATGTTTACTCTGTATTTACATTTCATAAAATTTACAGTTGAAAAAGTAGGTTTACATAGTCAAGTAATTTTAATCATACTGATTTTCTAGAAACTGAATTTAGTGTGCTTTTAATTAAAATTAAATGCAACATAAAATTGACTCTCCTCAGCTGCAAATTTAAAATGCTTGAGAGTCATGTCTAGCTCATGGGTGCTTTGCAGGCAGGGTGACTCTAGAATCCACGTGTGCAGTTTGTTTATGTTGTGTTTACTTATTTCTGTGTGACTATGTGTTTGTTTATGTGTGCCTGTGCATGTGGGTACACATGCATGGGTGTTATAATAGGCCAAAGAACAACACTGGGTATTTTTCTCAGTTGATCTCCATCTTAGTTGTCAAGGCAATGTCTCTCACTGAGCCTGAGGCAGGATGATTTGGTTAGACTGGCTTGTCATAGAGCTCCGGGGGTCTGTCTGTCTCTGCCTCCATAGTGCCAGAATCACAGATGTATTCCCATGTCCAGCTTTTTGCTTGGGTGGGGGGAACCAAACTCAGGTTCTCAGACTTGTACAGCAGAAACCTTACTGACAGAGCCAGCTCCTCCCCCTAGAATCCACATCTGTAATCATGACGTCATACTGTTCCAGTTGCAGGAGAGAAGTGCCCTCATCACTGTGGCCCTGCCCCAGTTGCTCAGTCCTCTCCCCATGGCCTTTC